TGTTTTCCATAATGGCTATACTAGATATTGGTGTTAATTTTTTTTTTTAATTTTCATGATCAGACACAAATGTGTGTAAGAAAACATGGACTTGACAAACTTATGATTTCACTGCCATGTACACTGATATAACTTTTCCCTCTTAAAATAAACCAATTTGCATTTTAAAAGGGAATCAAATTTTTTTTTTAAAAAAAATTGAGCAATGAATAAAGCAATTAGTACTCTAGTGTACCACAGATTGTGAATTCAGTACCCAAATGACTGAAGTCCGGGAAACCTGGTTGAGGGAAAGGTGAAGGGCACCCCTGAGGAGAGAGTTGAAATAACAAAACTAAGAAAAAATAAAGTTGATCCAGAAAGTTCCTTGGTGTGCGCTCACATACATTATTTTCTTCTTTCACCAGCGCCAGTCCCCTGTGGTGTAATGGATTCTCGTCGAATTTTCTATAGAATAATTGAGGGTCTTGTGGGGTTAAGTAAAACACTAAAGGTCACCCGGCAAATTAGCGGTGGAGGTAGAATTACCACGCAGGCCGCCCTGGCCCCGCTGAGAGCCGTGTCCCTCACCTCCGGAGTTCTGAGTGGGGGGCGAGATGGAAAATGAAACCTTATATAAAGAAAACTGAGCAAAATCGAAAGCTTCTACAGGAAAAATAAATCCACAGCTGGCTTGAAAAATATGACCTTGTTTTGGTTACTGTGTGTCCTTTGAAATGACCCAATTTGAAGGTCCTTGTAAATGCTGGCTGAATATATGCTCTGTCTCTTTTCAAAAAAGAAAGAAATCCCTGAGAAGAAACCTGGCCACCCTGGAGAAGTCCACGTGCTGTTCAGCAGTGTCCAGCTGCCTCAAGGACAAGGAAGGGGTATCCCACGGAAGAGGGGCATGTATTTCTTAACGTCACCTTTATAGCGTGTCTTCCTCCCCCTCCCACCTACCCACTCCACGCCCCGCCCCCAGGATCCTAGTAACTCAACAAATGCCATCTTGCCACCATGAGCCTCTCAGCACCATAGGAAAGCCAGCTCCATTGTCCATCTCCACCATCTCGGAGGACGTGAAATCTACTGTACAAAGAAGGGGAGCAGATGCTCCAGGACTCTGCTCAGCTGCTGTCAATCACTGCCTTCCCACCAATTTCTGCCTCTTCCCACATTCCCGCCCTTCCTCCATCGGGGCTCCTGATTCCTTCATGCACCTGACATTTATGTGAGCACCCACTGCCTACCAAGCTCTGCTCTGAATCCTGAGCCACCACACGGGGCCCTTGCTCCCACCAAGCCTTGTACTGTAGTGAGAGGGGACAAATAAGCCAACAGGTTAAAACAAAATAGCATGTCATCAGCACAGGAGTATTTCTCTCTCTCTTTTTTTTTTAAGACTAACATGAAAGGAAGTGAATAAGCATAGACCCTGCGGTCAGGGAAAGTCTCTCTGAGAAGATCACATTTAAGTTGAGCTCTCAACCCTGGGAAGAGGAAGCGAGCCGCACTCCAGTTAGGAGGAACCGCCCAGGTACAGATGCTAGGGTAGGGGAAGGTCCGTGAACTGAAGGAAGGCCAGCGAGGGGCAGCAGTAGCAAAGTATGTATGACTGCTGCTGCATGCATCTGGGGATTTAGCATCTCTGGCCTCCCCAGTTGTTAAATGCCAATAAAGCCCTGAGTACTAGCAACCAAAATACACACACACACACACACACACACACACACACACACTTTCCCCAGTGCCATTGGAGAAGCTGTAGTGCCGTCTCAGCCAAGAAATACTACACCACGGCAGGTCGGGGTGTGCATCACACAAGGCAAGGCTGGAGGAGGGGCATGATAAGCAGGTGTGTAATATTCCTAGGGCTGCTGTAACAAAGTGCCACCCATGGGAAGCTTAGAGAACAAAACTTTACTAACCCACCGTTCTAGAGGCTGAAGGTGACAGGCGGGCTCCCTCCTCCTGAAGGCTGCAGGGGCAGATCTGTCGCACGCTTCCTCCTCGGCTCCTGTGGCCACAGGCCACTTCTGGGTGTGTCGATGGGGTTCCCCGCACTCCTTCCTATTGTCTGCCCTCTGTGCGTGTCTGTCCCTGTGTCCAGATTTTCCTTTTTGTGTGACACCTGTTTTGTTGGAGTAAGGTCCATCCGACTGACTGACCTCGTCTTAGCTTTGATCATGGGCAAAGACCTCATTCTCCAATAAGGTCACCTTCCCAGGGACTTAGGACTTCGGCATCTATTCAAGGGCAGGGACACCGTCTGCACAGAGTGAGACATTTAGAATTTTATTCCGAATACAACCTTTGGAAGACTAAATAGGTAGGTGGCGGGATCTGACTTCTGCTTCTAAAAGATGCTTCTGGTCTCTGTGCAGAGAATGGATTACTGGGGCAACACTAGAACCAAGGACAGCAGATCAGGCAAAGATGACAGTGGCCTGGCTGAAGGCGTAGGTACAGCACTCGTGAGGACTCCCAGAGAACCAGGTCAGGAAACAGGTTAACACTCTCTCTGGAGAACTTCCACACAGCAAGGGCAAGCTGACTAGGGACCGTCCACCAAGAGGCACGCTGGCACAAGCCCATCAGCCTTCAAGTACGGACAAGAAAATGACTCAAATGGGTTTCTGGATGCAGAGGGCAGGATTAGATGACCTTCCCATGGCAGGCCTGTGGGGTCTACAGTCTCGCCTGGGTAAGTCAAGGATCTTCCTCAAGCACCTTGGACGTGAGAGGACCACAGTGCCCACAGTCCTCCCTCCTGTCCCCTCTCGGGCAGATGATGGCACACGCCCGGGCTGCACCCAGGCCTCACCCTTCCAGGGAATTAGCATTTCCATATCAGTGAGCAAGAACAAGTTAACGCGCCTCGCTGACAGCACGGGCTACCTTCCAGGGTTTGTCTGCTGACAGATTAAAAAGTATGTCAACACGCCTTTATATTAACAAATATTGCAAAGCAGAAGCCTTTGTTTGGTTTTTCTTTTTTTTTTCCTTTTTTTGCTCTGCCTTTCTGGTTCATGGGTGATGTTGGTGAATCCACGCCTGCATTCACACCAGGAGCAGGGGATGTCAGCCCTGCTGGGGCCGCGGTGCCCACAAATGGCGGTGGCTCACTCCTGCCAGATGAATAAGCTAGGGGGAGGGTGACAAGTGAGTGGGTGGGCAGTTGCTTACTATGCAATTTGGGTGAGAGGATATGGTTGTCACAAGATGCTCTTTCAAGAGGCTGGGTTTTCATTTTAACTCCCTGCAAGCAACTTTTTGAGAAAAGTTTTTGTTTGTTGTTGTTTTGTTTAGTTTTTCTCTTAAGGTACCTTTAAATGTGTGAAACCGGGCATGAGGTCTGGACCTTTCTCAATCTCCTCTTTGGTTGCTAGTTTACGGTGTCTGAGGCCTGACATGGGACCCAAGGTCCTTCAGGCAAGGCTACGCGAAAGCAGACTTTGCCCACCCCAACCCACAGGTGAATGCCAGACAACCGCCTGCTTTTAAAGTACAGCCTGTGGACTAAGAATGGCTTTCACATTTTTAAATGGCTGAAAAAAAAATCAAAAGAATCCTATTTCATAAGATGAATCATATTGCATCACATGGGAAAATTAAAATAATATGAAATTCAAGTTACAGTGTCTAAAAATAAAATCCCGTTGGCACATAGCCAGTCTTGTTCATTTACATGTTGGCTGTGGCTGCTCTCGTGAAGCAGCAAAGAAGAGGACTTTTGCCAGGCTCCGTGAGACCTCTGTGTGACTCTCTGACCCCCATAGGGGACATGCGTCACCTCTCCTGCTCTGGAGTTTGAAGAAGAAGCATGCTCTTCTTATGGAACCTCCCTGCCTTTTCCATTGCTTTTCTAAGTCCTATAGATGATCTTCTTTTTTTAAATTAGTGCATTATTAGATTTATGCATAATAGTGAGATTCATTTTGACATATTCGTAAATGCATATAGAATAGTTTGCCCCATTTCTGTCCCCGGTACTTCCTCTTTCCCTCCCCTTCCTGTTCCCCTGGCTCCCCTTCTCTATTCCGTTGGTCTTCCTCCTGCTCATTGACATCTTTTTGAGTTGGTGCACTATGGGGTCGATGAGACCGGGATGCACTGTGGTAAATTCACACTTGCACTTAGCCTACTTTGGTCAGTTCTTCCCCTTTCCCTCCCTCCTTCCTTCCCCCCCTCCCCTTCGTCAACCACTTCTTCTCTACTGACCTCCCTTCTATTTTCGCTAGATTCCCCCTTTTTAGACCTTTCTTCTTTCTGGCTTCCCCATACGACAGAAAATATTTGCCCCTTGACTTTCTGGGTCTGGCTTATTTCACTTAGCTGAGGGTTTCTCCAGATGCCTTCTGTGCACTTGAAAACCTAAATCAAGTTCCTATTTGTGCCAGGCAAAGCATGGGGTCCTGGGGGTACACGTGTGAACAGCAGCAGCCAGCCCCTGCTCCAGAGCAGGTGTAAACCACGCTGCTGTGCAGACACAGTGTGCTCCAGAGGACAACCCGGCAGGGTCCCCAGGGAGGAGGCACACAGGGCCATCAACACACAAAGTAGGCGCTGAGCTCCTGCTCTGGAATGTCAGGTAAGAGATGAAACAGTATAGACTGGCCACTTTCTGGGATGTGTAGGAAATTTTGAAGTTAACAGAGGGGAGGGCAAGAGAAAGAGTAACATTTCAATTTCTTGAGCACAGCTTTCTTTCTGTGTCCGACCCTGTCCTGTGCCAGGATGAAGTGGAGCACAGAAAATGAGGGAGAGAGGAATGAGCAGAGGCGGAGAGCCAGGTAGGCCATGCAGAGACCACAAAGGCTTTTTTTGCCTTTACACTCAGAACAGTGGAAAGCTGCACAGGGTCAGCAGTCCTGTTTCATTAGCAAAACTCGGAAAGCAACCGCAAGACCACAGGAGAAGAGATAAATAAGCAATGGTATACTCAAATAATGGAATATGAAAAAATGATGAAAACAAATAGATTACCATGACGTTCAGCAACAGGAGTGAATCTTAGCAACAGATCATTACATGAAGAAACGGTCCCAGAAGATAGCACGCAGCTTGATCAGCTTTCCATACAGTTAAAGGCAAGTAAAATTTAACGTGGCGTTTTTTTAGAAATATCTTTATGTAATATGTATGTGTGAATGTACCCTTATAAATCCACTTAGGTACCATACATTTCCATAAGGCAAGGGAATAGTTCAATGCAAGGTTCAGAAGAGAGAGCTGACAACCTTACAGGACGGGGTGCAGCACACTCGGAGAGACAGGGGTCATTGTTAATGTGCCACTTCTTGTGGGCAAGAGATTCATAGGTGTCTGTCATGTTAAAAGTTAGACATCGCCATGAAAAGTTATGAAAGCCATTTATAACAAAGGATGGCCCCATCTGACTTATAGTTCCAGCTGATCTCTCTGGCTGCACTGAAGAGAGTTCTTTGGAACAGGGCAGGCGAGGCAGCAGAGAGGCCCCTTGGGAAGCAGCTGAAGAGCTGGATGGCTCAGTGGCAGAGCACCTGTCTACGTGCACGAGGCCCTGGGCTCCATCTCAGCATAGAGGAGAGGGGGAGAGAGAGAGAAAGAGAAGAAAATGAATCAGGACGGGGCCTTTGACCAAGAGTTTTCCATGCCTTTCTCCTTAGAAGAGGTTTCATCAGGTAGATGAACATGGACAGCGTCTGAAAGGCGTTATAGAGACCCTCAGAAGCATTCGGCTAGGACGAGCTCCTAGGAAAATAAAGAAAAGAAAAATCACAACAATCCTACGCTCACACCAAGCCACTTCCCGCGCCCCCCCCCCCAGGCAGTTTTCTCCCCTCCCTTTAGCATACCTATCTCCTACCTCCCCAGATGTACTGAAAATTCTCTGAAGTAGCAGTTCTGGGAAACTGATCTCTCGACTGGCATGTTTGGCTTGGCTGATTGCTTATTTGTGAACGCACTTTGAGGTCCGAGGGTCAAGGCTGAAGTCCATCAAAGGCGAGTGATGATCTGGGTACCCTCTCTGGAAGGTTCATAGGCTGCCTTCCCGTCCCCTCCGGTCTGGACTGCTTGGTCCCACAGGTTCCATCCCATGAAGGGATGCTTGGGATTTAGGGCTGCTCTCTTATCGCCACCCTCACCGGCTAAGGGACCTTGGGTGCCCAGGGACATGTGACAACACAGATGAAGACCCTCTGTGTTAGTCGCCATTTCTAAGAAGCAATCTCTAAGTGCCCCTAGCTACTGTCAAGCAAAAATTATAGGAGGCCATTGGTTGGGACGAGACTCCTCTACCAAAATTCAAAATGAAGTCACTCGCACTAAAGTTCCAGGGCACCAAACCAAAAATAAGCTGTTACCTGACCTTCCTAGAAATCAGGATTGCAGAAATAACAGCCAGATTTCCCCCACTGCCCAGTTTCAATTGGCACGATAAAGAACTTCCCTCTGTCTTAATCCTTACGATTAAAAATAAAAAAAGAGAGAGAGAGAGAGGAAAAAAAGGTAATGGGAAGTAACCCGATGTTAACCAGGTATTTTTCTATAGTTCTATCTTCTTGTCCTTACGAGGAGAGTCGTTTTGGAATGTCTGATCCACTTTCTCTTCTTCAGGTCCTGCTGTCTACTTTACTCGATTTCACGGAGTGAAGTGCGGCCTGCTTTCAAAATTGCAGATAAGGTCTTTCTACTAAATTGTGGTAGTTCTTTTGTAGTACCGAGGATTGAGCTCAGGGACACTCAACCACTGAGCCACATCCCCAGCCCTTTTTTGGATTTCATTTAGAAACAAGGTCTCACAGAGTTGTTTAGTGTCTTGCTTTTGCTGAGGCTGGCTTTAAACTTGGGGATCCTCCTGTTTCAACCTCCCAAGCCGCTGGGATTACAGGCAGGCACCACCCGGCCCAGGTAAGTTGTAGTGGTTTTGTCCGTTGATAACTGCCATAGGTGAAGTCCTGTTTCTCTGTATCATTGCCAAATGTTCCAGAACAATGTCAACCTCTCTCCCAGCTGGTTTCCATGATCTCTACAGACGCAGAACAAGGACCGAGCCTAGCTGAGACTCTTCCTGGGGGATGACAGACTCCAGTGGACAGGCCTTACCCTCCGCCATGCTTCCTGGCTTCTGTCTTTCTTCTCCCAGTTTCTTGTCTGGTTACCTATTGCCTGTGGCATTTGCAACACAAACGATTACAGGAAAATCAAAAGAGAGGTGTTGGGTCCCTCCCCTTCCCTCCACCACACCCCAGCTCTCCTGAAGCAACAGGGCCCTTTCCCAAGAAGCACCAAGTCTGGCATTCTGTACAAAACAGGCTTCTACTGAAGGGTTCCAAGCGAGTGTTCCGACTCTGGGGACATAGATGAGAATCTGCCCCTAAAACGATATGAATAATAATAATGATAATCGTTTAAATTGCTGAAATGACAAAGGCTGTGAAAGCCCTAAAGAAGAACAGATTTTTAATTCTGAGAAATCCGGAGGGTGGTTCACGCACACCCCACGCGCTGGGGTGGTGCTAGGAGGGGTGGGTATGATTCTCACTCCAGAGCTTCGGAAGCGCGGGGCTGCACGCCCCGCAGAAATGGGAATTATGCACTTCAGTAACCCTGACGACTCACAGTTAGCTCATTTACATTGAAAGTTGAACAGATTTGCCCCAAGTAGCAGATAAACATATTTACATGGATTATAAATCTTAGCAGTGGGGAGCAGGAAAGAGCCTCACCAACCTGGCTCACAGTACAGAAAAGGAAACTGAGGCCCAGAGACCCCTGGTGACCGGCCCAGCTCCCAGCTACATCCGCTGGCAGAGTTAGGGCTCAGGTGCTGCTTTCCAAGCCCCCACTACCTCTGAGCTTTAGTGAAATTATTCTGTTATCTCACAACAGACAGAAAAGCAATGAGGGACACAAGATGGAGAAAAAAAGAAATTGAAACAGAGAGGAAAGGATGGGAGAGATAGAGAGTGACAGGAATTACAGCAGAGACTGTCTGTCTCGTCCGTCTTTATCTTTCTCTGTATCGGCCTCATCTCTTTCCCTTCTGAAACCTGTCTCTACTCCGTCTCCCACAGGCAGGCTCCCGAAAGAGTACAGTCTGGCTTGGTTTATTCCAAACCTAAAGGCAGAAGGCCTGCAAATGGGCAGAACACTGGTGGGCCTGTGAGCCGGAATTTTCCAGAACCTTTGCACCCTGCCCACCCCATGTCCAACCTCCCTCACTGTCACTGAGGAAGCCAGAAGGAATCATTTAGGCCTTGGAGTGGGCTCCCGAGCACCAAGAGGCACTTCCCAAAAGGCAGAATCTTGAGCCCCACCCACCCCAACCTAAGGGACCGGAATCTGCATTTTGACAAATGGTTCAGAGAAGGAGAAGCACACTGAAGTCTGAGAAGCACCCAGGTGGAGCACACTTGAAACGTTCCCAGCCTCCTGTCACAAGCCTTCTTCCAGGACCCAGGAGGAAAACAGGTCAGAGATTTTAAAGATTAAGATTGACACAATCTAAATCCCATCCAGGGGATGTGCCTTGGGGAGCAGAGACATTCATTGGAAAGAGTTCGTTCCCAGTTTGGTCTTTCCTGTTCAGACCAGATGTTACCTGTGACGAGTCACAAAAATTCCTATCACAGGGTCTGTTTTTGCAAAATCCAAGTGGATGTAGATGCCCAGGATTTCCAGCTACTCCTGACTCAGAGAGGTTAAAAAAAAAAAAAAGCAGGAAGGATTTAAATACTTTGAATTTGCCCAGTCCTGAAGCAAAGTGAATCTCCTTCTAGGCCTTGCTGAAAAGGAGGGACCAGGATGTCAAGGAGTAGCAAGACCCCAACGTCCTGCTGCAGCCAAGATTGTGAATGCACACCCTAGGGGCAAAATCACCAGAAAAAATTAGCAGGGAAATTTTTCAGGTGTCAGTTGCAATGAGAGAGTAATAGACAAGGAGCAACAGCAAGAAAAAAAAGATTGTAATTTAATTATTTTAAAAAAAAGCCTTATATAAAAGATTTCCAACTTTGAAGCTGGTGAGGGAATATTGACTTATATCCTTATGTTTCCCAAGTGTCATGTCATCCCACATGTCACAGAGGATTTCTTGTGAAATAATCCCTTGGCCCACATCAGGGAATAGTCCTGCCCTTTGATCTAGACGATACAATCTTGAAAGCTACCCTGCTCACACATCTCCAGTGAGGCTGCTCAAAACAAGAGAGGGGAGGAGAAAAGTACACATAAACACAGAATGAGTGAGCTTTTAAAAGACCGCGAAAGAGGGTGAATTCTAGAACGTGCGTCTATGAATAGACGCTGCCACTGCGGGGTGTGTATGAAGCATGTTATAGCCTTCACAGGTTTTACTTAATCTGCAGATTTTGCCAGTCACGTTCATATTTATAGCAACTCTTCGTAGCACAAAAGCTAAAACAAAGGCCAAAACTTCTACTGTGGAGAATCTGAATTCCGTAGCTTTCTTTCTGCCTTTAGTACAGGCACACCGCCACCAGCACTATGATGACCTCTCCAGTGCCCATCCCAACAGTAACATCTGTCCGCCACCAGGACGAAAGTGATCCTCATCTCCACCTGCTTCTTGCTCGTCACGTGCAGCTAAGACACAAAGCTTGGCCTCTGAATTGGAAATACCGAATCTCAAGCCAGGTACGGAGCACACACCTGTGATCCTGGCAGCTCAGAGGCTGAGTCAGGAGGATCATGAGTTCAAAACCAGCCTCAGCAACTTTGGTGAGGCCCTAAGCATCTTTGCAAAACCCTGACTCTAAATAAAATATAATAAAGGGCTGGGGATGTGGCTCAGTGGTTAGACACCCCTGAGTCCAATCCTTTGTATAGGAAGCAAGGGAGGAAGGGAGAGTAGAAGGAAAGACCAGACCAGATCTCAGCAAAAATCCAAAGCTACCATCTCACTCATGTACTGCAACCAGAAAATAGCACACACGTGTTCACACTCATGCCTTCGTGTGCTCTCTAGGCCTTCGAAAGACATTTCTACATTTATTGGACTTGAAGTCCCTGGCGATCCAGTCTGCTTCCTACTTGAGCCAGCCCTGAGCAACAGGAGCAAACTCTTGGCCAGTTTTATCCTGCTGGGAAGATAGGAAAACCTGAGCGTGGTCTCTCCTTACCATGGGGAGGTTGCCTGAAGCCAGGACCCAGTTCACAAAAGATTTGGGATATTTTATCCCTTTGGAATTCTGGTGGTCACAGAGAAGGAAAATACTTTAAATACGGAACACGCCCTCGCGGATGGAAAGCAGTGCAGAGAGCGGGGGATTTGGCTTCCTGCCATTTTTGCAAATGTGTTTTCAAAACCAATTACAATGCGGTGATCAGGCGGTGGATTTGCTCCTCCACCAGATTGCTTAGGCCAATCAGCTGTGCGGGGCTCGCGTGGGGACCTCCTCGTTCTTGGGAATGGGGGCGCGTTCTCCATAGAAGCCCTGCTCTAAGAAAGGGTTTCTTTTAAAAAGGACATCTTTTATTTTCCCATCTGTTTCCTCTCACAGCACAATTTGGGGTCAACTCGGGTCTTACAACATTCAGAAGGATAATTTGGCTCTTTCCTTCAATAACTGTGAATATGGAGACTGAAAAGGGCTTACTTTTAACTTCTTTCACCACAGAGGAGCACAGTGAAAGAAAACAGTCCCCCACGGCCTGGATCTGAGGTTCTGCTGTCAACAGACGGGGGGTGAGTGACTTTCGAAGGGCAAAAAAAGAAACACCCCCAAAGTAAAGGATGTTAATTGAATTTGCTTTCAAAAATTGCAAATCCTGGTATCTGCTTAAAGCAAACGAGGCAGTAATGCTTCGAGGCCATTGTGCCTAAAGACAGAGCCTCCCTGTGTGGAGGGGACTGGGCAGCCTTGCTGGCAGCGACTTTGTCTTTGAAGGTGGCGAGAGCTGGCTCCTGGGGTTCACACTCCTGGGACATAACGTGGAGTCACAGTAGACACTCAGGCACAAATGATGGGGGACTTTTATATGAATCCAAGTAAAAAGAAGAAAAACGAAAACACAGAGACTTTTCATGCAACTGGTGCGAGAATGAACTCCCCCTGCTCCTCGCCTTCCTGCCCCCCCTCAGGGGTGAGCGCCCTGAATGGAGAGGTGACAAGCTGTGCTGGTGGCCACAGCATGCAAACCACCCATCCCTCCGTCCTCTCTTCCCACCACGTCAGGGTTGCCGCTACATCCCAAGCATCGGGGAATCCCTGTCCCTCCTCCCCCTCTACTGCAAAACTTATTAAAATTTTTTAAATGTGAGTGCAATTTTTTTTTTTCATTGTTTGGGCCGTGGCTGTTTTGTTTTGTTTGCTTATTTAACCCGTTAGAAAGCTCCAATACCTGTGGTCCAGTTCAAAATCAAAGCCCAGTGTGTGTCTATGGAACCGTAAAGTGATTGAGCTAGATTTCTCAGAAGTTTCCTCTGCCTCTCTCCCCACTCAGCCTCCAGGGCTGTCACCTCCCCGACACCCCCAGGAAGAGGAGATCCTCACGGCAGGGAGTGAGGAGGGCCGGGGGCAGGGGGCTGAACTCCACCAGGCAGAGCAGCTACGGGCAGGCTGGGCTCTGAGACCCTACCAGGATTCTGTGAGTGGAATGTGGGTGTCCCCAGAAACTCATGTTGAAGCCTGAATCCCAATGTGATAGCCACTGGAGGTAGGGCCTTTAGGAGGTAACGAATTTTAGATGAGATCATGAGGGTAGGACACTGGTGGGATTAGGGTGTACTACTGCGTTCCGAATGCAGGCGTCCCCGCAAAATCAACATGTGGACACTTAACCCCAAAGGCCAAGTTGACATTAGGAGTTGAGGGCTTTGAGAGGTGATTGGGTCAGAGGGATGGCGCCTCATGATTAAGTTTCATGCCTCTATAAAAGAGACTGAAGAGAAAACTCTTTCCAATTGTACCATCTGAGGACCCAGCAAGAGGGCACCATCTCTGAAGCAGAGTTCACAGCCCTCGCCACACACTGGGTCTGTTGGCACCTTGACTTTGGACTTGCCGCCTTCCACAATTCTGAGCAACACATTTCTGTTCTTAATCATCCAGCACTTCACTGTAGCATCCAAATGGACTGAGACGGTGCCCTTGTGAGAGGAAGACCAAAATCGCTCCCTGTCTCCAGGCACACAAAGCTAGGAAAGGCCATGTGAGGACAGTGAGAAGGTGACCATCTGCAAGCCAGGACCCAACCGTGCTGGCACCGTGGTCTCAGCACCCGGCTTCCAGAGCTGCGAGGAACATATTTCTATCATTTCAGCCACCGGGCTGTGGTGTCTTATGATGGCAGCCTGAGCTCACTAGGCCGCCAGGCAGACCCCATCCAACCAGCTCTGTCCTTCCCCTCACAAGAATGTGTCCCCAAGGTCACCTTCCTCCCACTCTCTCCTTAGCCAGGCCCAACAGATTTTCCCTTCCTTCCTTCCGTTCAAAGATCATGGGATTGAGCTGTGGACTTCTGGAGGTAGGGGGGGAGTGGATTTCCAGAAATGAAATGGGTGTTGATGCAGACGCTGGCCAGGGAACACCTCTCTGTCAAAGACCGAGGAGGAGAAGACAGCTCCAGGCACGTCTTCAGTGACATCGCTGCAGAGGGAGGTTCCCTGTCTGCCTCTCTCCATCTGCTCTGGGCCTCCTCCAACACTCACTCCCCACATGTGCTCTGTGTCTGGTTCTTACAAATATCCTCTCCAAGGGGGGTGACAAGGTCATCCGGACTCACCTCAGCAGAAGCACCAGGGCACTGGTGGAGGGTTGTCTCCATCCATGATACATTTCAGAAACCTCCTGGCTACAAACCTCTTTGTGATTGAGATGAAAAGTTTCTGAAACACATACACCCACAAAAATACACCCAGACACACAACTCCTGCACAGGACAGCGAAGTTTTTGCAAAAAACTTCAAGAACGTGGGTAGGGCAGATGACAGAACAGGGCCCCAGACTGCAGGGCGATTTCCACACCGCAGTCACCTTTACCTGTCCTTATTGTCACAGGACCTGGAGATTTCAGCCGTGGACTACACCAGGGTGATTAGCCTTGGTTTTCCAAGACTTCTCAAGGTTGAAAGACTCATAATGGTGATATAATTCCACCTCCTGAAGGAGCCTGTCGTAATTAAAACCACAACTGTCCTCTCTCCCACACACCGCAGCAGAACATGGAGGGAGGACAGAGAAGAGAATTGAGGACAGGAGTCAGTGCTGGGGTGTGAGGCGGGTGCAGCCCTGGCCACATGCCCTCCCAGGCAAGAAGCAGGTGTTGGAGACAGAGAAAACCTGGGAAAAGATAAGATAAAGCCCTAAGGAGATGGGGCCACCAGAAGTGGCCTGGTGCACTCGGGAGGGGGTGGGGAGAAGGCACAACTCCTCAGGCCACAGAACATGGGCTGTAGTCCCCCAGGCAGTGCCCCTGTTCCATCCACACCTCCCTTCAGGGTCCAGGCAGGACGTTTGAAAGTGGCATTTCTTATTTCAGAGCTGCTAGGAATGGTTGGCAAGTCATGGATAGAAAGGTGGAAGCAGGGCAGAGAATTCAAGGGCACGGACCATACCTACAGCAGAGATGTCCAGCCCTGCGCAAGCGGACAGCTTTGGGACACCCAGGTTTTCTTCTTCTCCTTGACACGTCCCCATGTTGGGGGTCTCCTTGACCCACCACCTCCACTGAAGATCCCTCCAGGTGCTCAGATGTGCTCTCCTCTCCCTCTGTTCTGAATTTAAAAACAAAAAAACAAAAAGAAAACCTTCCTATGCAACATTTTTTAACCTGATTGTACAAGAAGGGCAGGATGCCCTGTTTCTGCCTCAGAGAGTGCTCCTGGGCAACCCAGGAGACCGCTCAAGGAATCATTCGGCCCTGTGCCAGCACGGAGCTTTTCTCTGCCCTCACTCACAGTCACCTCAATAGAGACTCTCCCCACTAACCCCATGGAGGTTAGTGCCAGTCTTCAAAGAGAGGCGGCTCTCTTGGCCTCCAGAGATAACTAGGGTATTGGTCATTGCCCCAGATACTTCCTGACTTACTGGTCTGGACTCAACTCTGATGGAAGTCCAGGGAAGTCCTTATCAGCAGGATAATCTCATGCAGAGACAGATGGTCCAATCGCCCTTAAGAACTCCTGGTACAGAGTCATCCTAAGTGTGGGTACTCCTCTCTGTCTCTCCTCTGTTTTATCGATCCCCCGTGACCCTATTTGTTACTGCTATAAACCCTTCATAAACAATTACTCTTACATATTTAACATCCATCTTTTATAAATTTTCTTGCAAAACATTTATTGCTCTTTGGTACAAATAATCTGTGCTACACCTCCTTTCTCTTACTTTTTTCAATCAGTATTCTATTTTTAAGCGAATCCAAGTTGCTATTATACCTTTAGCCCATGGCGTCTAATCCCAGTATATGAGTCACAGAGATGACATACAGTTACCACATTTTACCTAGACACTCTCAAGGTGATGGACAGTAGCGTTCTAAATCTCCACCTGCACAATAATAAGGCAATATATTAATGTGAACATCTTTATATATTTTTCTGTCGGACCAATATGAAAATTTCTTTGGGATACATTCCAGTTCTGAAATAGTTGGGTCACAATTTAGGCAGGTACTTGATTTACCTAAGTAGTGTCAGATTACACAGGTAATAAATCTTACCTAAAGCACATGAGCTAGACTCTTACCTGCTGTGTGCACTGCTTTGGGCTAAATAACCCAAAACCTATTCTTCCCCATCAATTCATATCACCCACTTTTCTAATATTTTTCTCAACCTAATTGGTATAAAGCAAAATCTCTCATTTGCATTTCTCTGATTACTCCTCCAAACAAGCATTTAGTTATGTTTATTGCCTTTGAGGTTTTTTCCTTTCTAAAATGTCTGTTCATACCTTTTTTCATTTTTGCAATGAGGTTGATTCAAGGTCTTCTTTGCAAGTCCTACATGTCAATACCTTGTTCCGTTTTAGACATTGCACGTATCTTCTTCCACTGCACCATCTCTCTGTCACTCAACTTTGTCTAGAATGTTCTTCCATGCAATAAAATTCTTAATTACAATATAAAATCATCGACATTTTTTGCCGTATGGTTTTAAAACTTCTGAAGTTTTAAAGAAGTCCTTTCTCACCTCTCTCGCCAGGATATCCTCCTAACATTTCTTCTATTAACTCTCTAGCTTCACCTTTCTTCTGGGGCCTGAAGGGAACTGTATCTATCTGGAGTCCGCTCTTGCATGGGCTGTGAGGTAGGGATCTTGCATTTGCCTTTTCTGTTCAATGAACCATTTTTCTCAATCACTATCTGAGCAACTCCTCTCTTCCCCAGTGATTTGGGGTGCTCCATCGTTGTTCCCAAAATGCTCAGGTCTGCCTTTCATCTTTCTAATTTGCTCCACGGGTCTACATGTTAGTGCACAGAATTTATGACGATGGCTTTGTTGTTCATCTTAATACCCAGATAAGTCCCATTTTTACTTTTCTTTTTAATATTGACTTGGCTACTCGTGAGGACGGAGGTCTCCCTGGGCGGAGGCTCTGTGAGGATCCTGTCCAGTCGGGAAGCTCTCTCCCTCATAGTTCTCACTCGCTTTGATCCCCCACGACCTTCTTTTTTCCATATTCCTCTTTTTCTGGTCTCCCAGCATGGAGCACCTGCTCCTTCCCCTTGCAAACTCCACTCCTCTTAGCCAAAAAGGGGAGCCCTATCCTTTGGATTCCCACAAATGTCCCAACTTCAGGAGGTCAAGGTGACTATTTGGGGCATGAGTGGGATGGGGTGGGGGGGGGGACTTCGGTTCTGCAAATGAGAACAAGATCGGGTGCTCCAAGGAGTACCCTGGCTATCACCCAACTGATTTCCCTAAAAATTGCAAAGAACATCTTGCCACATTGAGCATTAAGCTCCCTGCAGACATCACCAGGTAATCTCCTGTGACGAAAGGACATCCCTACAGTCTGTGTGACTTTGATCTCACCCCGTTCAAAGTTAACGAGCTCTGGTGTGATTATGTAATGGAGCCTTTTGCTGTTGCTTAGACCTGATGTGTGTTGCCACGACTGTCACAGAAACTACAAATGGCTCTCTTTCTGCCATCCTAATGGATGGCACCAGCTTCAATGAAGTGCTTCCAGTTTGTCGGGATTGGATGCCACAGAGTCCTCTAATAGGCAGGGTAAAGGGGCAAGGAGAGTTTATCCTTCCAGAACCCTTGACCCTAGGACTACTGATCTGAACTCTCCTTTCTCCTGCCATTCTAAAACCAACCTAGAGAAAACACCTGTCCTATAGATAAGCTTCGACAGATAGACCTGGGGGAGGGGGAACAGGGAGTGATAAGGACACAGACAGGCAGAGCTCAATTGATGACCATTTACAAGAAAATTTGATGACTTGCAGCTCTGCCAAATTCCTAGGCTTTTTCATGTGTAAGTGGAGGCCAGCTGAACCCGGGGAACACTTCACTCCACCCATTCAGGTCCTGCTCTCCCCCTTCCTTCCACCAGGGTCTCCCTCCCAGGTTCCTCCCAGGTTCCACTACTGGTCTGAAACACTCCCGGCTGAGAATCTGTATTCTCGAGACCGGTTTACAGCTGGATCTTAAAAACCAACACCTCTGGGGCCACTGACATGTCCCTGTTTTCACAGCAGAATCCACCACTTCCTCTCCTGAGTCACTGCACGCCCCACACCAGGGCAAACACATTCCTCACACCCAGTTAGGAAAACCAGAGGAATTCCAAGGAAATCCCATTCTCCCCTCCTGAGTTGCTTTTTCCTACTGAACTGAGGCTAAAAGCAGCACTCGCTGTTAGAAGATCCTTTCTTGGTACTTTATTATCCTCAGCCTTGTATCTACCCTGAAATCTGTTCACCCTTTACCTCTGTGCGTTGTCTCCAGGAGCAGAGCAGGCTCTGGGGGACCATACCCGTGAATTCCTGACCTCCCCGAACACATACAGGTACGGCCTGCGCCGTCCTCCAGACATCTTGACTTTTTTCTGTCTTGTTTTGTTAAGGTGCTGGGGATGGAACCCAGGGCCTCATGAATGCTAGGCAAGCACTCTACCACTGAGCTCCACCCCTATCCCTGAATACATATCCGTGCGAACAACCTGACCAACTCCCTTCTAGAAACTTCCACGCACAGTGCAATGGCCACCATCGCAGGTTGCAGAGGCAGAGGGGGTGTATTTTAAGGCAGTGTGGACAGACGTTCCTGTATCCCATGGAGTTGGCCTTTCCCTTGGAAAAGGGCATTCCTGTTTCCTATTTCACTGACACCTAAGACCTGTTCTAGCCTCGGTAACGGGTGCCCAAGGAGCAGGTAGTGTAGTCCCGAGGATTCTTAAGCCCCCTGATGAACATAGCATTATGCATTCGCCACAGTGAGTTGCATTATTATGTTTTCAGCAGCCTGCGAGAGAGACCCTGCTGAGCAGGATGAAGGAAAGTCCCTGCAATTAATTGGTAGAGTTGAATTGTTAACATTCTCCCAGGGTTCCCAGGCGCAGGGCTCTTGACTGGCCTGCTGGAGAAAATAACCAGGGGATGGGGGAAGAACGAAGGGCGGAGCGGAGGGAGGAAGAAAAATCTCATTAAAACCCCAATCAAGGCTTTTTAGCACTCCCCCCGCCCCACAAAGACATTTGCTTTGAGTCCAGAACGTTATACTTGCTGAATGCTATTATCATAACAGATCCCTGTGCTTTCCTAAATCCTGAAATGATTTGCTTCCCTTGGAAATTTTTGGTGTGGGGTTTGCTTTGGAAAGCTCATGTGATGGTCCCCAGGAGAGCGTAGGTTTGGCTGCCATGTCTCTGATGACATGCATTTCTATACGTGTGGACACATGGGCATGTACACCATCATACATGCATGTCATGTAACACGTCATAGGTGTTATGACCAAACCCAAACTGGTTTTATAACACATTCCAAGTCAGTTGTATCCACTGCAACCTTCCTTCCTTCTCTGCCCACCCCCACCTTGGTATTAGGATGAAAAAGAATTGGCTTGTTCTCAAAAGTGATTAGGTCAGTGCCTGGGCAGCCCTTTCTGATCTAAAGACTGCTGCTGCAGCAGATGCCCGTCAGGTGCAGCCACGAGCCTCCTTCCTGGAGCCGTCTCCCCTCCTGCCTCATCCCAAGGGAGCTCCCAGGAGCCATCTGTTCCACCTGGTCCTGGACCCTCGCCGTGTTGACCAGGACAAAAATGGGCATCAGACCCATCCCAGACCAGCAAAAATCCCAAATTACAGGCCCTAGGACTTTGGAATGGGATTGAGAGGTAGATACTAGGATGTGGCTATGCGTCCCACTGCGTCCCACCAGCTGGACTGAGCGCAAGAACAAGCCACTGCATTGAACCAAGAAAGGAGAGAAATAAGCACCCAAAAAAGAGAGAAAGGGACATGGTGGGGAGGCTGCTGCCTGACGCCCAGGGGCCCCCCAAGTGAGCATCGTCTAGGGCTGACTGGCCATTTATGGAGTAAGGGCCCTTCTGCTGCCGCTGAGAGCCAAAGAGGAGAAGTCAGAAGACTTTTTTCTTTTAAGCACAAAGATGTTTTTTAAATGCACTGAGGATCCTAAGAAAGAAATCTTCATCTTGAAGAGATACATTCTCGAGTCACCGGCATTATTCCCGCCTCCTCCAGCAGTGAACTTCTGCCAGTAGAATAAACCAGCCACTATACTCTTACTCAGGGATAA